GGCCTGAAATTTAACACCTTTTCTCACCTTTTTCCCGACGTCATGTTTTTGATTTGATTTTCTGGAAGGGTGGTCACTCTGAGCACATGACAAAACTGTGCAAATTAATGTGGTGGTGTGATACTTTATTGCTCTGACGAAATATGTTCACTGTTAATATTACGATCAGAAAACTGTTTCTTTTTCGTTTCTGATTTGTAAACAATTGCAATTAGTATGCAATTCTTTTTTTTAAAGACAATTATTCGTGATGGTCGTTTAATAGATACTGTAAAACCTAATTTTGTATATTTGAGGCAACATTTAGTGGACACTCGGGCCGCGATTATAAAAACGTCATTTAATGGAATAAACTTCTATAGCAAAAATAATTTTGGAGGGATTTCATGCCACTTAATAAAAAGAGTTGCTTAATAAAGGTGGACGCATGAACGATGCTAACTGTATATAGATATATAAAATTACACTTAAGTGTTGTTACATCTTTAATTACATCATACAGGATCTTTCAGTTTTATGTGCAAGTTTGTATCTCGCAAACAAGTGAAAGGAGTCTGGATTGAAACTTCACACACTTATTTGTAATTTGAGAGGCCACTGTTTAAGGCTTCTAAGCTATATAACGTGGATTTTTGGACAGAAATATGACCCCTTTTTAGAAGACTATTGCCGTATAGTCGCGGCAACCACCATGTGACACCACCATGTGACACCACCACGTGACTCCACCACCGTGACTTCACCACCACGTGGCTCCACCACATGACTCAACCACGTGACTCCACCATGTGACTCCACCAATGTGACACCACCAAGAGAAAACACCACGTGACTCCGCCACGTGACACCACCATGTGACACCACGACGTGTCACCACCATGTGACACCACCAACGTGTCACCAAGTGACTCCAACCACCTGTATCTATTTGATAGAATTTCTATTTATAGAATTGTGTGTTTCTGTTGTATAGAATTTTCTATTTATAGAATTGCGTGTTTCTATTTATATATATATAACTTTATATATCAATTAGTATATTTATATATACAAAATATACATGTATAGACAAAACTAATGTGACAAGGACAGACCGATTAATTTTATAAAAATGAAAGATTTTTGTTCAAAACATTTCTTTGTGTTTGCTTTTAGAGAAAGTAAAAAGTCGAGCGCTCCCCCCCCACCCGGCGGTGGCTCTTGTTGCAGTTTACATCCGGGCTCTTGTTTAACTGTCAAGCATTGAAATAGTCCAGCATGTTGTTCTAACTGACAGCTCATGTTATACCCACTGTCACTGTTGTAAAACTCTTTTTAAATAATTTTTAGAGCAGAATTTGGTCACCATTGAAAACATTTGTATTTCAGTGTTTTAACATTTACTTATGTGCAATTATCAAATTTTTTAGATTTTTTTGCTAAACTTTTATGTAACCTCAATGGCAACAAAGAACAACAAACCTGCCAGGTTGTTCCAACATTTATGTAAAAAATTTACTACAGCTATTGCAAATTATGAGATATATAGAAATTTGTTCATATAAGGAAACTTTTCAGCTGCGTTATGTATTTTGTAAGGACACTGATTTGTGGCTGTGCTAAGTTGACAGCCCTTTGCACGGAGGGTCAACTGAGGGTCATCCTCCTTCTAGTACAGTTTACCAGACATGCCAAATATGATTTAGCCTATGCCACTAGTATAAGAACCAGGCCAGGCTACACAAACATACCTACAGTCTGACCAGCTTGGTACTGTTGTAGCTCAATCTTTGTACTTTAGTATTTGAAATCCCTTTAAAGGGTATAAAGCTATATCTAATGAAACAGTTTTAAAAATTTATCGACAGTAAAATTGTATTGTTTTGATAATCTTGTGGTCGATTTTCAAAAAACGTATCATTTTGAATGTCCCAGTTGTTTAACCAAACATGATATGTGTACATAAAACAGTTTTATACAAATACTGTAAAAATGTTCTCGAAACAAAATACATATATGATGCTGCTAATTTAAGCAGGGGTTTTATTAAACGTGAAGCAATGATTTTGAAGGCACACGCCAAATTCGCTTTCATGGCAATATACTTCTATTTTTATCTCAATTTGCATCAGAAATATAGCTGTATAACACTTTAAACTTTTAATAGACTGTTTACTAAAATTCAAAGCTTGACAAATTCATTATAGAAATTCAACATATGAGCCTCGCCAATGACAAAACCAGCATAATGTGTTTGCGTCCAGCATGGATCCAGAACAGCCTGCGCAATCCACACAGACTGGTCAGGATCCATGCTGTTCGCTTACAGACCCCTATAACAAAGTAGAGAAACTGATAGCAGAAATTCAACATCTTTTATGATTTTTTCTTTTTAGCAATACATCAGTAGAAAGCATGGAGGAGACAAGGGTCATTGTGTTTGAGAGAGTAGAAAAACTTGTTCTTTTATATTTAACTTCCCATCCGAACAAAAAGTTACACCGACTACAAGATTGGAGTGGGTTATCCTGGAAAGGTATTTCTGGTTTTCTAGATGTCAATTGACGTCATCATTTCTTTTTTTTAGACAATCCTAAATTAAGAAACACCCTAGTGTTAAGGCCATTTTTCTTCACAACCACAAGCGGTGTCAATTTAGTGGGGTTCTACTGTATTTAAAACAAACCCCCTCTCCCGCCCTCTGCTGTGATTTTTCAAGTCCATTTAGGGAAAGTTTAGATTTGCTCACATGAGTGAAACTTAACAGGCAGCCTGTTGAAAATTGGTGGTTATACATTTAACTGTGAGGATGGTTCTTTTCTGTTTTTTTTTTTTTAATGCAGATTTAGCTTACATTTTTGGTCATATTCCAGTGATTGATCCACAAAATCAAATTTCCTGGATAACTTAGCAGTTATTACCAATTTCTTCAGAAGTAAAATCAACTATTTATATTTCATATTTGGTCATTACTGGCGTTAGTTATCCCGGGAAGAATGGTTAAGTGGATCAACCCCTGACTTATGACCAAAAACATGTGTTCAATTTGGCGCAATAAAAAAAATTCAAAGAGGCGCATTTTCAGCATCAGTAAAGCTTGAAAGTTGGACTATGCTGCTAACAGTGTCGGTAAGATTGAAACACAAATAAAAATTAAAGAGAATTTTAATGTTTCTTTAAGGATTATGTTAAACTCAAGTCTGTATGCTTTGTTAACCTAAAAAATGGTGAGAATAATTGCAAGCAATATGGTATTGTAAAACTAAAATTTACACCGGGTTGACAGATTTGTTCAAGGTTTGATATTTTTATAGATTTGTTCAGGCTATGATATAGATTTCTTCGACCTATGATATTTTTATAGATTTTTCTTCAAGCTATGTTATTTTTAAAGATTTGTTCAAGCTATGATATTAGGCAAAATTTAATTTTCTTCAGATATAAAATGGTGCTGGACACAGACTCGGAGACGTATGGCGGTCACAAGCGACTGCGATCCTAACGTAGAATATTTTACAAATAATGAATCGTGGGATAATCGTTACCATTCAATGATGGTAAGTAACTCTTTGAATATTGATAATTTATACCAGCTCACTTGCCTCTCTCTGTATGTTAAACTTAGGGGCTATCGTTGAATATTACTACATCTATACATCATCGATATTCATCATTTGATAACAATATTAATACACACTTTAAAAAAATGGAGACAAGCTAATAAAAATTTATTTATTTCTGTTAGTGAATATACCTCTCTAATTTGCCTGAGAAGAGAAGTCACTTTTTTCCAGCCTTAAACTTTAAACTCTGTTTTCAAAAGTCAGTGACAAAAATAACAGAAAAAACAAATTTTCTGTAAGTTTGTAGTATTTGTAATGTCAAATACAAGAATGCATAACACCATTTTCCCCAATTTATAAGACATATTTAAATGTTTTTCTTAATTATTTACTATCAAAAGTCAATATGTTGATATATTCGTCAATATTTTGTCTCTGGGTATATCACTACAAAATTTTCCATCAATGACGGCCCTAGATAAACTCCTACCACGCAAAATATCTTAAATACAGCTTGTCCATCTTTCGGTCTGATTCAAAATCATTCATCATTTTTACAATTTTTTTAGCGGATTTTTTTTTTTCAAAATTAGTACTGACTCATAAACAGCAGACAGTGCTGATCATGATTTTTGTCTGCACTGGTTTGCAAGGGTAGAATTGGTTGCTGCCAGCAGGCTAAAGATCTAACAAAAAAAAGTGTCTTCAGACATTTAATTCTTTTTTAATGATAACAGCAGTTTATGTACTAGCTTTAGTAAATGAAGTATCTTAGAAGGCCCTATAATACAGGCAAACATTCCGTTAAAGACCAACCTTGAATAAAGATCACCCTGCATATAGAGGCCACCTTTTTATAACCCTCAGTTATTAAAATGAATTCAGGTATCCTCCAAATAAAGACCACTTTGTCTTGACTATAAAGACCACGATTTACCTCTATCTTGGATGATCTTTGTTCACGGATTTGACTATATGATTGTTCCATAGACCTGTCGGTTCAGATCTTACAAGGATGTTAAATAATGTAATGGAATGAGTTTGTATTGGATTCTTATAGAAAATGTGTTGTTCTAGACACATTCCTGCTTTTGTTTGAACTAATGCACACAGTGGAGAACTAGACTCTTCCTCTACTAGTAAATATAAAAAAATGTGCCAGGAGTGTTGCTCTGACTTCCTGATGAGGATAAGATAAGAAAATTGATAGCCAAAATCCCTTGGCCTTTTTGTAAAGTGAAACACCTTAAAGAATAACTTTCATTTTATATGGTATAAAAATATATTAGACAATGGCATTTCATCAGAAACTGTTCTTGGCCTTTAATGTTGGTTATATTTTATTGAGACAATGACTTTACTTGAAACTGTTCTGGGCCTTAAGTGTTTGTTATTTTCCTTGTGACAATGATATGTCTGTTCTGGGCCTTTAATGTTTCTTTATCTTTTACATTGCAGGTATATATACCATGCCGGACAGCTATAGTGCTAGCAAAACAAGACTGAGCATGATGAATTGTAGCACAATTATCACATTATATCTATACACCAAAGACTCAAGTGCTATCTATAGTTGGTGCATGACAACCATTCCATTCTTAGACTGGAACAGTATATTTCTTCAAGTTGGAATTGTCCACTGTTTTATTGAAGGGATGTCAGCGCTTGCTGGTGCAAGTGTGAAAGATGGAGTGTGCCAGGATTGCTTATATTCAATATACATGTATATTTTGTTCGGCCAAAGAAAATAATTAATTTGTTACTGATTTCATGCTACTAAAGAGATAGGGTCATCTGTTAAGGTTTTCTCTTCTTTTTTCTCTCTCTTTGATGTTGGGAATAAAGGTATTATTTTCTTATATTTATTTGTATGGTTATTATATATCGGTTAATGTTAATTAAAGATTTTGTAAGAAAAAGTTTTTTCTTTGGCCTTTGTAATCTTTCTTTGAAATATAGCATGATTTTAACCAGGAATCATAGTGCTAAATGTTAAGGAGTGTTCAATTTTTGTTTTAAAGCCAGTTATTTAACTTGTGTGTCATTTGCATTTTAGCTCTCTTTTTTTCTTCTTTTTTTTTTTAGATGTATTGACTATTGTGCAATGCAATAGTGTCAGTTTTAGAGATTATATTTGACAGAAGTGTTGATTATTTTAATTTGAAAATGGTGCAGTCCAATCCATGTGACTTAATTGAGTGTCCATTTCTTAATTATTATAAGTGTGACCTGTCCTCTACAAAGTATTTTTTCTTATTAATTTGATGTAGTTGTACATGTAGTTGATATTAAAATATTAACAGTTAAATCCGTTTGTTACTATCACAAAATAAGTTTTATTATGTACACGTAATATACATGTACTGTAAGCAGCACGCCTCCAGATTCATGCTAATTTTCATGAAAATTTGAAAATTCATTTGAATGTGTAATATTGTGAAGTAACCAAAACGAGGCAATTTACACATTATCAATTGCACTTACAAAACGCGTAAAATACCAAAAAGTGGTCAAAATATGCATAAATAGCCTTTACTGCATCAGAAACACAGTAGAAATATAGCTGTAGATACTGAAAAATTAGCCATTAATCACACAGAACATGTAAAATATTACTTGAATCTTGAAACTTTTTACTTTTTCTAACATCTTAGTACATTTGTCTCAAGTTTGATTTTATTGAAATATTTTTACTCTTCTGGAGGCATGTAGCTTTAATGGACCTCTCCAACATTGGTACACTTGGTACCAAAATTGTTAAAAAAATTTTTTAGATAAATTGTTAACATTGTGAATAACATGCTTAAATTTGGCAAGGTAAAGATGTGAAATAAAAAGTGAAAAATGGGCATTGTTGAGTCAGAGATTTATACATGTATATTACAGATACTATAACTCTCTGGTTAAATCTAGTCCAAAAACACCAACTCTAGTTACCTCCCCGGAAATTTTGTTTTTGTAATAAAATGGCAGTAATATTATATCAAGTTTTAGTTGGTTCTGTCCTATTTACCAAGAAATTATATGTATCAAAAATTTGAGCCATGATACGATTTTAAAAGCTGTTCACACTATTCATGCTATAAATCACGTGACTTTATGGTAGTGTGCATTAAAATTACTTTTACTGTTGTAACACACAATTAAAGGTAAAGTTTCAATAGGAGTTGATTCAGTAATAATATATCAACTTCCGGACAGTTTTCTCTTAATCTATTAGCTGCCATGATGACGTCAACTCGCGTAACTACAAATGACACGTGATTCATAGCCGGGAATTTAATTTGGCGCTCAAATATTGTTTCAAGTGTTTCATTTCAAGGTGCCATTTAACTGTTTGTGATGATATTTTGGTTGTAAGCTATATATATCGTAATAGAAATAAAATGTACACTATATGAACATTAATTATGTATTTATTTTATATTTCTGATTCACATGCCGGTACAGAAAATGTCGTCTGCTTCTCAACACGTGTTTTAGGTTTAATTTCTATCAAACTTGAACATGATCCATTTTACATCATAAGTAAAGTAGGTAATGGCATCACTTGTAAACTGCAATTTTCCCAGCGGTAATTTTCAACATAATTTCACTTTTCCGAGTAATAACACATATTTTTCAAAGAAAGCAGTACTCTGCAACCACGAGCTGCCCCCCCCCCCATGATGTTGGCTATTTTGCCTGCGACAATCTGTTTTATGTATACATCTACAGGTGGTATACCGTGAAGAGTAACTAATACCCAAAAATATATTTGTCACTTCCGTTCTGTAAGTTCTGGGTATTTTAGTAAAATATTGAAAGAACCTTCATATTACAGGAATAGAAGATACGGTAAACATTGTAATTGTAACTTCTTCACGTGTTATAGAGGATGTTAATAGTGCCACTCATATTCCCATTATTTACAGTATATACATGTTGTATGTATATTATGTCATAAATAAATATTTATCTAGATATAGAAGCTCACTTGTACTGGCGGGTACGTATTGCACCCACAAAAACTTCTAAAATGGCAGAGACACGGTGGCATAGAGGGGACATTAGAAATAGTTTGTCTATCACGTGCCCACGTGATAGCTACTACGTGCGCACGCAATAGTTGCTATGTGGGCATGTGATAGCTACTACATGCGCACAAGATAGCTCCTACGTGCGCGCGCGATAGCCCCTACGTTGGTCAATCATTACGTGCGCACGTAATAGCTATCAAGTGCGCACGTAATAGCTCCTATATGCGCACTTAGTAGCTATCGCGTGTGCACGTGGTAGATAAAATATTTCTGATGGCCCCTTTATGCCACCATACAGAGACTTATAATTTCAATATACGGTGTAGGGGCGTCCGTGGCCGAGTGGTTAAGGTCGTTGACTTCAAACCACTTGCCCGTCACCTCTGTGGGTTCGAATCCCGACAGGGACTTTGGATTCTTTCATGTGAGGAAGCTATCCAGCTAGCTTACGGAACGTCGGTGGTTCTACTCAGGTACCCGTTCGTGCCTGAAATAATGCACGGAAGGGCACCTGAGGTCTTCCTCCACCAGTAAAGCTGGAACGTCGCGATATGACCTATACTGTGTCGATGTGACGTAAAACCCAAAAACAAACAAACAAACAATATACGGTGTATAAACGCCGACAAAGCGGGAAAAGAAGAATCAAACATTTGAAAATAAATACAGTAACATTTGTAAGCACAGCACACAGCATTTTAGGGTTGGAATATTATTTCGATTCTAGAACAGTCGATACGTTATTGTCCGTAGAACGGTTACGTTACCGATACTAGTATGTGGTAAGATAAAAATAAAGGTCAACACAGGATAAATGGAAATCAATTTATTAGCACTAAACCTATCAAAACAGACTACATATACATGTATTTCTGTATGGTGTGTTAATTGGAAGAATTAGCCCTCAGACATAAAAATTATCCCTCGGACGCTCCTGAGGAAATGAAAATGATCTCCTCAATGTCGAGCTTTGGAATTGACGAATAAATTGACTGGGAGCGAGTGGGGCGGGGGTCTTACTTATATTTTATGTTCAGGCAGTTACCATAAAGGACGCATGGTCTAGCAGAAATTAGGTCGATGGGGCAATCAACAACTGTCAAAAACTTGCTATCTCAGTATTGCAATACTAAACATAGTTTACAGTTGGTTTTAAGGGGCTATATATTGCCAAGATGCAGGTTACCGCTGTAAATAAAAATATGCATGCAATTACTTTTTGCCGTTGAAACAAAATAGAAACAGCAAAAAACAATGAAGTTTCTATAGTAAATGCTATTAAGATGACACAACATATACACGTGTGCGTGCGAGGGTGGGTTGGTGTGTTGTTGTTTCTTTTTAATGTTTTAAATTGTTTCTTGGCATTTTTTTAAATAACTCTTTTTTTTTCTTCTTCTTCTTTTTTCCCCGTTTAATGACTAAGTACCCAGGAACGAGATGGCAAAATAAATCCATGTACACTAGCCTACTATTTGTTTTGCCCAGATCGATATGTCACTTATGCCTGTTCAAATTAATTAATTATATTATGTTCAATAAATTGAATTCAACATCTTCAAAAAGACAATCGCTAATAATAACCGTCATTTTATAACTTTAAAATGCCTGCGGGTGCGAGATGTGTGATGGATAATTCATTATGTTTTCCTTCATCAACTTCCGGGAAGACCTGAGAATGCATAGAATAGCCACGGTGTTAGTTTAGAGTCAGATACTGCAAGAAGTGGATTAGAAAAGAGGTTAAAGATGAAAAAGACTGGGAAAAAGAATCAACGGGAAGATGCTATTAATGGGTAAATACATAAATAATTATTTTTTGCAGTTGGTATATTTAATAAGTGTAATTAATGATAAGTTTGAGTAAATTTATCTTGTATTATTACCACACAGGCAGTGTTGTTGTTTTTTTTTACTATCTATTGCTACGTGCATAACGTGCATGATTTTGATAAAATTCTGTATAGAATTACATGAAACCCCGCTTTAAAAAGTATGTTGTTAATTCGAGGTTTTCAGTAAGAAAGATAATTCTTATATATAGGCTTAAGGATCAGAAATGCGTTTAAAATTGCGTCTTACACGTCGGTATATATTAAAGTACACATACAGTGGCATGTAGTAACTATCTGATTAATCTTATCTGACCCTGGTGATAATGATTTTTTTTCGCACATATTTGTAATTTCATAATTATATGTATAGTACGCAAATGTAAAAATTAATGCAAATGGGATATGGGGAGGAGTAGGGGGTGGGTAGTGGGATAGGGGGCTTAATTTTTCTTAAGTTGCACGAAACCGTTTATATGTCAATATTTCAAAGAAAAAAACATTGATATGACAAGGAATGTTTATTTTACACTTTATTTGAATAATTATATGATCTTGTTTTAATTAATTAGAGCGGTCTTCAAAAATTAAACTTTTAATTTAAGTCCCAGAGACAACTCTGGCATAACAAACACGAGATCAAAAAGTCCTACAAGAGAGTAATAACTGATTAAAAGTTATATATTTGATTTTTCAGAAAAGATGAAAAAGCGGGTGAAACTGTTCAAAGAGTTCCAGTAAATTTCGGTCTCCAATTTTCCGACTTGTGGGAAAATCCGGAACTTGTATTAACCAATATGGCGACCTCCATATCGAAAGCCGGTAGAGCAATTCCAGAGTTCCTTTTAGCAAAGTTCCCGTATGTTCAGGCAATATCATTAATCATGTTGTTAGCAGAAAGAGCGCTTAAAATGGAGAAGTAAGTAGTAACAGTATTTTACTTCTTTGTGGACATTTCCCCTGTATACAATAAATGACAGCTCTTTGTTTACATTACCCCACCCATTTTTTCCAAAGCAACATTTGCAGGTCAGGTGAAATTCGTCTTGCATTTTTGTTTTATTCAGATTTTTTTTTTCAAGGTTGCACAAAATATTAAAAATCAATATCTTATGTGACAACACTTCTTGTTAAAACATGGTTGAATATAATTTGGTAAAATGAAGGTCTTTAAGATATTGGAGCAATTTAAACAAAGTGCCCCAATTAGGCCAATATTGATTCTGTCCGCAGCAAAATCCATGTTTTAAAATTCCTAACCCATTGCCCTCTAGCAGTCTAACCCAAAAGCCCAACCTAACCCTAGAAGTAATCCGAGTGATTTCGTAGAGAAACATAAATATTGATTAAATAATAGATGAATATTATGTAATTTGTAAAATAGATGTGGTCCAGCTCAAAAATTCATGTGTAGGGTGATTGCCTGTACTGACACTACACTAGGGCCTGTAAGTTGTCACAAAATTTCGACAAGTTGTAAACCATATTCCATATAGGGTTTGCATTTTACTAGTTTTCTGAATTCCAGACAGGCCATAAAGTTGTAATTGTAATAAGAGTTAAGATATTTTGCTATGTTAAAATATCTCATGTTTGGGCAATATCTATCCTCTAGAAGTGAGATTCTGACTGAGTGACACAGAACAAAATATATCGGAATTTATCTTAGGCATGGCAAAATTTTTTGACTGGAAATAAATTTTTTGCTGATTTTCATATAAAAAAAAAAGAAATTTAATATCCTCTGAGGGTTTTTATGTACTAGCCAAAAATCTGTGGAGCAGGACCTTCTCCCCAACCCCAGTCTGTGGGCATGAAAGCAATAGGACTGTAGTTAGCTTCACTCTCTAGTCATCCTGTATTAACAATTTTCCTCACTTTAAAGACTATATATTCAACCCACAATTTAAGTACATAGAACAATAATAATAGCTGTTGTTATATAATAATCACTTAAACATATTGTTTATGTAGATGGTTAAAGTTTGGGGGACGGAATTAAGCGTTTTTTGAAATTTTATCGATGTCTAGCTATAATTAACAGTTCAATGTGTTTATAATTTTCAGGTATCCCCCAATGCATCCCCACCTTATTTATGGGATAGCCGTGGTTTGTTTCATCACCGGGTGCATGATGACAGCTAAAATTAAACTGAGATTTGCTACACTTGTATACTCCGCAGTACTTGTATACCTCACCATTAATGCATACACTAACAGGCAGTTCAACTACTCAAGACATGTTAGGGTAAGTATAATGACTACAGATTAATTATCAATATAATTGAGCGGCGTCATGACAAAACCAACATAATGGGTTTGCGAACAGCATAGATCCAGACCAGCCTGCACATCCACACAGTCTCATCAGGATCCATGCTGTCCGCTATCAGTTTCTCTACTTGTAATAGAGTTGGTAAGCAAACAGCATGGATCCTGATCAGACTGCGCGGATGCGCAGGCTGGTCTGGATCCATGCTGGTCGCAAACCCACTATGTTGGTTTTGTCGTGACGCGGCTCATATATATGTATGATATATATGAGCCGTCATCAATAGAAATGATATCATTGTATTGTTGATATTTTCCTGTCAATCAGTAATCGATACACTTTTAAGAAAATTGATAACATTGACTTAATAATTGAATTCAACCAAAACATAATTCAGAAGCATATTGAAAGCGGTGATAATAAAAATGGTCAGCAAATAGCATGCAATGGGCATTTATAAACAAGACACATGTGTGAAACATTCTGCTCATTTGTAGAATATTATAGATTTGAAATAGTAACAAGAGAAAAAAATGCGTTATTGAACAGGCTTCATAAAAAGAACACTCTTTATAATATTATATTAGTATTGAACTATTGTATATTAATGGGTTATTTAATCCTTAAGTTAATACAAAACTGATAAATATATATATTGGAGTTTGGACAACTACATTTAAATAATAATCAATAAGACAGAATAAATGAAGAAATAATTAAACCCAAGTAAAATAAGTATTGTTGTTATATAACAGAATATATAGAATATTATTTTCTTTTAGAATCGTATAGCAAGCAGACATGCAGGATGTTTAGGTGTATACTTGATTTATTCATTCATCAAAAGCAACCGACAGTCTAACTTAATACACAGGATTGGAGAACTGTGTATATCAGCGTACCTCCTCGGATCAGCGTATCTAATCAACGAAAGCTATGAAGACAAGCGCGCAGTTCTTGAAAATATCCCTGGCGGGAATTACGCGAGATATTTCTTAACCATAATCTTCACATGTGCTGGACTGTGCTTCATTTCTGGTTATTTCCTAAGAGATATTTCCATGTCGATGGCTTTCTTGATCGGTGCGATAACAATTTTAGTGGATATGAAATTCTCGTACTGGTCATATCGTGGAATGGCTTACTGGAACCAGATGAGGATTGTTATAGATAATTTGAACCTGTTGACGGGATTTTTTGTGTTCATGATTCATTATGAAAACATCGCTAGAGCGGAGGCGGAAGCAATACAGAGAGCAAAGGAGCAGGAAGAGCAGGAATCTGATGAGGAGCATGATAAGCAAGAGTGAAGTTTTATCATCGCTAAAATATCATCTGTTTGAATCTGGTCAGCAATTTGTCATTAACGTAGCAATGCTCAAAGTGGCTGAATTTTTTTTTTATAACCATCTTAAGAGTGAAATCAAAATGATAAGAATTTTACTTTGCACACAAGGCCATGTATAGCATAAGTTCAAAAATCTTGTGCCACCTTCTTGAAGTTGTATAAAGAAGTGGCAGAGGTATACCTACATTAAATTTTATAAGCTTAATTATGTTAAATTATGTTAACAGGCTTTTTTTAATTGAAAATGATACAAGAAATTAGCCAGTATTAAGTTAATTAATGCAAAAAAAAATTTTTTTTACTCAGAAATCCATTTTTGTGTCGCCTCTACGGAGTAGTGGCGACATATAGGGATTGTGTCGCCTCTACGGAGTAGTGGCGACATATAGGGATCACTTCTCCGTCGTCTGTCTGTCCGTCTGTCTGTCCGTCCGTCTGTCACAAAACTTGTCCGGACTACTCCTCATAAACTACTGGTGCAATTTCATCCAAACTTTACAGGAATGATCAGTACCAAGTCTAGTTGTGCATATTGTCAGCATTTTCTGGTTCAATGATTTTTGTCAGAGTTATGGCCCTTTAATAATTTTTAATTTTAAAGTTTGTCCGGACTACTTCTCTTATACCACTAACGCAATTTCAATGAAACTTTACAGGATTGATCTGTAGCTCAAGTCCTTGCGCATATTGCAAGGGTTTTCCGGTTGAAGGATTTTTGGCCGAGTTATGGCCCTTTGATAAAAAGGTTTCTTTTTCTGTGTGTTGCCAGATACACAAAAGCTTGTCCGGACTACTCCTCATAAACTACAGGTGCAATTTCATCCAAACTTTACAGGAATGATCAGTACAAAGTCTAGTTGTGCATTTTCCGGTTCAATGATTTTTAGCTCGACTTTTCTATGAAAAGGGGAGCTATCCTACTCGCCCCGGCGTCGGCATCGGCGTTAGCGTCGGCGTTGGCGTCACACCTTGGTTAAGTTTTTCGTACCACCCCACTTTATTTCAGAAGTATTACAAGTATGGCTTTGAAACTTACCATACTTGTTCACCATCATAACCTCCATCTACAGACAGGAGTACATAACTCTGTCAAGGTTTTTGACAGAATTATGGCCCTTTTTTGACTTAGAAAGTGTATTGAGCTTGGTTAAGTTTTTTGTACCACCTCACTTTATTTCAAAACCATTGGAGGTATTGCTTTGAAACTGACCATACTTGTTTACCATCACGACCTTCATCAACAGACAAGAGGAAATAACTCTGTCAAGGTTTTTGACAGAATTATGCCCCTTTTTGACTTAGAAAATACATTGAATATGGGTAAAATCCACTTATTGCCTTAACCCTTTGAGATATTGCTTTGAAACTTTTAATGCTATTTCACATCATTACCCCCATCTGTACGCAAGAGAAGGTAACTCTGTCAGGGATTTGTTTTAAAAATTAAGGCCTTTTATCGACTTAGAATCTTGGTTAACTTTTTTTGTACCAGTCAACTTTTTGACTGAACTGGTTGAGATATTAAATTGAAAGTTGGAATACTTGTTTACCATCATGGTCCCAAAACATGGGCAGGAGAAGGTAATTCTGTTAAGGATTTTATTTGAATTATGGCCCTTTTTGACTTAGAAACTCAGTTAAAATTTTCATTCTTGTCCACTTGTTGACTTAACCATTTGAGATATTACTTTGGAAGTTGGAGTTCTTATGTGCCATCATGAGACCTATCTGTAAGCAAGAGAAGATAACTCTGTGAAAATGTTTCTTGATTTGTACTTAGAAATTCCTAGTTAAAGTCTTGTGTGCCCTTAACTGTCAAAGTTTTGTTTTATAGGCAAGCACTAAAAAAGTCGAGCGCGCTGTCCTTCTGACAGCTCTTGTTGTTTGAGTTATGGCCCTTTAATAATTTTTATTTTTAAAGTTTGTCCGGACTACTTCTCTTATACCACTAATGCAATTTCAATGAAACTTTACAGGATTGATCTGTAGCTCAAGTCCTTGCACATATTGCACGGGTTTTCCAGTTGAATGATTTTTGGCTGAGTTATGGCCCTTTGATAAAAGGTGGTTTTTTTCTGTGTGTTGCCAGATACGCAAAAGCTTGTCCGGACTACTCCTCATAAACTACTGGTGCAATTTTATCCAAACTTTACAGGAATGATCAGTACCAAGTCTAGTTGTGCACTGTCTGTCTGTCTGTCTGTCCGACTGTCACAAAATTTGTCCCAACATGAAATTGGCCATAATGAGGCGACACATGTGATTACTGATCGCTCTTGTTTTCCAAATATCTTCAAATGTCAAACATGTCTTTGTGTTTTATTAACTGAAAAAACTAGGACTGAACTTTCTGTAATGTGTTGTAAAGTAAGCAAAATGTAAACAAAATAGTATTTTTGACTTCCATACAAAATATTAATTCACTATAATTAAACCAACTGCCATCAGAGCAAAAGAAGCAACAAATAGTTTAACTTTGTGGCAAATGAGTAAATTTTTGGAAACTGTAACAAGACACCAAAAATAAAAAAGTTTCTGAGCAATAAAAATGATTGCCTGTCTAAGGGATAATGGGCCTTTAAGAATATGAAACAAATTTTTTATCATAATTTATCCTGAACAACCCCCAATGTTATTTGTATTTTTTACTTGAGAAGTATTAAGATTTTCACACATTTGTTACTGAATTTATATTATTTTTTAACTTTTTCATAGCTCAAATGTTTACCGTTTTCATATTTATAACTGTACTGGTATGTGTATTTATCAACTTTGTTATTTATTTTTGCATAGAACTTTAGTGAACTGTTTGTTATATCTGTTTTACTATCTCTTATACAGGAGGTATCATGTTAACATTTTGTTCAGTAAATGACATCATAGACTTGTGACATCGAAAAAAAAGATAAATTCACCTTTACCCTGTTGAAGGCAAAAGTGATTAGTGTTTGCCACCAGTATAGAGCCAGGCCAGCCTGTACATCTGTGCAGTCTGACCAGGCTTTATACTGTTGGCTGGCCAACTTCAAATTCTCACCTTGATATTACCTAAAAATGATAATGAACTGTTCCAAAATGGAAATTGGAAAAGTCCATTTTAAGAAATTCAGTAGGTTAAGGGTTAAAATTTTGAGGACTCCAGTAAAAGTGCTTCCATTTGTACAAAAACCAAGTAAATATTCACAGATACCTGTATTTTGTTATATTTGGATAATTTAGTCTTCCCTCACATACACATGTTTTGTATAAAATAAAATCTTCAATATAACTTTAACATATTTGTGTCTAACAATGTAATAGTGTGTTTTTTAATCTTAGCATGTTTATTAAGTATCAATTCTCTTTATCTAATGAAAGATATTTGAAACTCACTATTTATACTAATTTGTAAATGTATATTCCTATTTATGATAATTTATATGTAATTACTTTAGTTTACAATTCCCCCAGTGTAAAGTGCCTATATTATAGAAATGTTAAACATATACTATGCTCATCTTTATGTAAAATATTTTTATTGCAGAAATTTATAAAAATCTAAAGATTCTTAATCAAAATGTCTATTTGAAAAAAAAGAATTTACAAACCATGTTTGGAAAGTTGCATTTCCTATAATTGCTCAATTTAAATGCCAGTTTTTTAATGACACTATGTATTCATACTGTGTTTACATATAGTGTGTAGTGTTCAAAACTTAATATATCTTTTGTGTGTATGCTAAAAAGATATTTATTTTACATTTAAAAAAAACTGTATAGAAATTATCAGTATTTTCAAATATCAAATTTGAGCGTAATATATCTTTAAATCTAAATTTTACAAATTTACCTAGTATGTTTTCTCACAAAGCCGCAAGTTCCTCGGTGGAAAACATTAATTTGGGGTATTACCATTAGTCTCAATAAAATCCTGAGGGGAGGGGGTATTTATCACAGGTTTATAGGTCATTGCCAGGTCAAAATATGGAATTCCTTTACCATTTAGGTATTCAAATATAGATAGATTTGCTAAACAAAGACATCTTCTTATAGTCTTTGAAATCATGTAACTGGTCAAAAAAAAAGTTTTTTTAATATAAATATTTTTATCTTGTTTCCTGCAATTCTGACATAGAGGCTTTGACCAAAGCACACAGTTTATTGGTATTCACTGGAATAAGAATCATTACAATGACCATGTTTAATATACATTATAAATAAAATCGTCCTTGCACCAATGATTTTTTACATTCCTTGATTTCAGACAGATTTATTACCTTTTGATAGAAAATTATTCTTGCCTTTCTATTTTTCATCTTGGTAAAATCATGTGTATTTTTTATCAATTATGGAAGAAATGTGTTCATGTAATATCTTTGCAATGTATTTATTCTGTATAAAATGAATAAAAATAAAATATTATTTGTACATGTTGTAATGTGCTTCTTGTTAATAAGTATGTTATGGTGAAATGCTAATTGTACTGCACACAGGTAAGTCTCATATCTGTCCATTCGAGCCCCACTCGGGTCACGACCATGTTTCTTCATACGACACCAGTACTGGCTGGTTCCAGGAAGCGGACTCGAAAGTGATTAATATAAGTTGCAAGAACTTGCTTCGCAATCGAGCTTAAATAAATATGTTTAAACTAAACCAAGGATGTGTTGGGTTAAGATTTTAAAGAGACAGCCCTTTCAAGGAAAAAAATTTTAAAAAACAAAATCAGACAGAAACAATATGAAAGTAATAACAAGACATTTTATACTGTTGTTTTTTTGTTTATTTATTTAATGATTTTATAATAAAAACTTTGATTAAAGATGAAAAAAATGCATGCATAATAATAGTGATATCACATAGTTTACAAACTGGACAAAGTTAACAAAAAGGAATGTCACCAAAAGGAAAACACATTAATTTGTTACTGAAAGAATGAAAAATCAACTTACTGATTTTGTGCAAGAATCAAACAATCTGTTTTAAAGTATATATCTAGAGTCTTTGGCCAGAAATGGTTGTAATTACTTTTTTATATTATATAGCTATAACTGCTTCCCATAATGCCCTTGTAACGTGAGGAAACACAAAAAAGAACCCCGCCATGAAAAAATGACCCTTAACGTTACTCATTTTAACAGACATATTCAATTCTTAAAGAAATTCAATTCAATAGCTTTTAAATTAATTAAAATAAAAACTTGAAATTTGCTTGTTAGCTATATATATACATGTATATATAATCAACATTTCAAGTATAATTCACTTTTTTATTTTTTAACGTCAATGAAAATGTCCACGTCTTTAAACCTCATTTGTAAAATGACATTACGGGTTGTGTTCTTACGGTGGCGTTCAAATATTATTATGCTCGTAATTAAGCTGCTATGACACAATGTCACATTTTGAAATGAAGTCAGAGTTGTCATAAAGACAACATTGCTACCCTATTTTCAGTGCATGAAAGTTATAGCGACTGAACTTGCATTGAAAACCTTGACCTTGATATTTATTAAGTTCACAAACAGATTTAAAGCACAGGCGTTCAGCACAATTGCTATGCCTATAATAGTCACATTATCATAAAATAATCACCCTTGATCATCAAGAACAAAATTTCTATCTAGCACCTGTAAACTATATAAAATATATACAAGGTATACAACTTGCCTTAGCATATTCACCTGACACGGTCAACATTTTACTCTCGTATGTTTTTAAAATAAGACATATGAGCCGTGTCACGACCAAACCAACATAGTGTGTTTGCGACCAGCATGGATCCATGCTGTTCGCTATCAGTTTCTCTACTTGTAATAGGGCTGGTAAACGAACAGCATGGATCCTGATCAGACTGCGCGGATGCGCAGGCTGGTCTGGATCCATGCTGGTCGCAAAACCATTATGTTGGTTTTGTCGTGACACGGCTCATATTTTCATAACATAGCACAATAGATATTTATTTCAGTTTTATACAGTAAATGGGTGCTGGATAGTAATTTTGTCCTTCATGATGAAGGGGATTGATATTTTATGATAATTTGACCATTATTGGCATGGCAAATGTGCGGAACGCCTGTGATTTAACTCTGTAAAAATATTCAAGCCAGATTTATGCAGTCTTACTAACTACCCTGAAGACATGAGAGAAGTTCCGTGTGAATGAATAGTCCTCAGTGGTTAAAATGAATATACAAAGTTGCACACAAAACTTTTACAAAGTGATACCTCAACCCTGATGCCAAGGTGAGTAGGACAATTCCTTCCCTCATTTTCTTGAAAAGTAAAAAAAAAAAAATCTGTTTAAAATTAAGATACTGATCAAACCTTTATTGTGTTTTTCTGATCACATCTTATATTATTTACATATAAGGCATACAGGAATATGAACAAAGCAGGATTAAATGAGCTACATTCACCCGAGTCTCCACTATTAAAATTGAATACTTAACCATGTCACCAATAATGATTTCAGCAAACTAAAATTTTGACTGACAGATGGTCCCTAAAGCCGCCTAACCCTTAACTTTCGGAATTTCTTCATGAACTTTTCTAATTTTTTTGTTTCGGAAAAACAAAATTATCTTTTCTGTTTTGGAACTGTTTATAATCAACTTGGGGTGATATAAGATAAGAATTTTAAGCTATACAGCAGAATCTGACTAAAGTTCAGATCTACTTGTATCTTCCATGTAGATCTGATGATGACTGTGTATGTTTTGCCTTCTTTATAATTCTGATTTCCCCGAGAAAGCTATTTTTAGCCATGCAATCAAACCACTTTTTACATAGGCATTAGAAGAAGTATCAAAATACTGTTATCAGTGAAAGTTAAACAAATTGTTGATTTTTGTTAGAAAAAAATTGTTTGAAGTTTACTTAATAATAGAGTCAATTTTTGAATGGCAAGATTGTTTTACCAGGTTACCTGTCAGCTATAAGGGTAACGCCATGTTTGGTCTTGAAATCGAAAATTACCTACTCAGTATTGGTTTTCCAAGGGTTAAAATTAGAAACCACATCGCTTTCAAAATTATGAAAGCTTGCCAATGATTGTCTGTGTTGAAAGGTCACCAGAAATGACTATGTATTTGGTCACGGTCAGATCTAAAATCAGATATTTATTCATAGCTGATTTTAATCAGATTGCACAACAGCATAGACTGCATTGTTGTACCTGTACATGTTTAAAAAACTGGAAAGACAAAAGTCCTCTTCACATCTTTATGTTGCACTTCCTAATATAAATTTATCCATTTAATATAAGACACTTATTAAAACAAAGACTCTAAATCCAGTCTTCACAAATTGTGTTGAAACATATGGTAACATTTTCTCAAGACATTGCCACACAAAAAAAACTTTAAAAAATTCGAAACATCAACAAACAATAATCTTTAACAAACATTTAAAGACCCATTACAACCTAGGGTTTACCCAGTAAAATCTGATTAATAGCGTCATTATTAGTTATAAACAGTTTTTGACGGGTTATATGGCCTAATATAAATGTATGTATGGTTATATTACCAAAAAAAACAACTGAAACATGTGGGTTATAAATTTAGTTTTAAAGATTTTTGACAGGTTATATGGCCCTATATATATTTATATATATTTTTTTTTAAAAACCAACATTTCTTCTATATATGACCATATAAGCAATCAAGAATCTTTATAAGAAATTTATATTACAGCAAACTTCCTTTATTAGAGAAAAATGTATACTAATATAATATAAACTTCACAACTGTTGAATAAACATCAAGATTACAAACATGAAAAATTCTGTAAAAAAAGAGAAAAAACAAAGAACATACCAAACATTGACAGATTAAATTCCATTTTTATATATGGGCTTCATCTATAAACAGTTGTTTCTCTTTTTGTTTTTTGGATCAAAGTTCATTTTAAATTTGTAAAAAAAAACCAACAACAAATGTCCATACTAATTGATGTGCTTTATAATTTATAAAGAGTTGTTCTAACTCTCAAAATATTTTGTTCAAAACAAATTATTATACATTTACATCTTATTATTTTAATTATCAATAAGAAGTTTTTACATCTAATTACCCCTAAAATAAATATAAAATCATCAATATACATGTTTATTATAAATAAAATACAAATCCAACATTTTCATGCACAAATCTGTTAAATTGACTCGATTAATAAAAACCCAAAACAATGGCGTTAAGTTATATATACATGTACATTAGTTATGTTATCAAAATATGTATACACTATGTACATTAATATTTTTAACCTGCTTGAACTTAGAGTGATTTAGTCTGTGCCACCAGGATAGAACCAGCTCTGACAGCCTGCACATGGTCTGTATAGTCTGACCAGGTTCGATCCTGCTGGTAGCTCAATTTTTGTATTCTGATGCCCAAACCCTTGAAACTTTTAATGGACTGTTCCAAATTTAAAAGGACAGTTTCATTTCATAAATTCCCCAGATTAAGGGTTAACCTCTGAATTCTAGACCCCAAGCTTAAGTTGCTTCAGAGAAAAGGTACAACTCAGTAAGATACCCGATCTGAAAGTCACATGATCAAGCATGTCAAAATTGAGCTCCTCCTTATGAATATTCATGTTACTAATTTTAATTGACATGAATAATCAATTATGGGCAAGCCAATGAATATTAATTTATTTGATCATGTCAACACACTTTTAATCACAGGAAAGGGAGGGGCACTAGACAATCATTTATATAAATGCCCCTTTTCTGGGCCTCTTTATAAGTAAGGTCCTAACAAACACTTTTATACACATGTTTTAATGTATACAGATTTTAGATTTTAGACTTATCAAGACACATTTTCTATGAATACTGTTATCAGATGATAGCTTTTATAGGAACATAAACACACAAAATATTTTTTAAAAAATCTTAAATTTTGAATTTCTTTTCAAAATGAAATTAATAGGTTTATAGATAACAAAAAGTAACATGATTAAAACTGAGCATTTGATTGGATGAGACAACAAAAGCAATCAATCAGACTGTACATTCAACTATTTCCCTGTGCTTGGACAGTGGCCTACAATTGATGATACGAAAGTGTGAACTTTCAAATGAACTCATTCTGTGGGTAATAAATAAATATTACAGAACCTTCAACAGGTGTTACACTGATTCAGTTACTATGGTGAGCAGGTTAATTCCACTAATCTTGAATTTGTTGAGCTTAAAACTGTGAGGATGAAATTAGACCAATACTTATTATTCTTGAACACACAATTCAAGACTTCAAAATACAACACTTTGAATATTCAACATAATTTCTTCTTATAAATTCACAAAGCCACAACAGTACTGTACAAGACTGTTGGAAAATATAAATACATTAAATTTTGTACACTTTATATAAATAACAACAACTTTCTTATATCACATGGCAGGCAACTTGCTTAAAAGGCTTTCCTTTACAATATGAGCCGCGTCACGACAAAACCAACATAATGGGTTTGCGACCAGCATGGATCCAGACCAGCCTGCGCATCCGCGCAGTCTGATCAGGATCCATGCTGTTCGCTTACCAACTCTATTTCAAGTAGAGAAACTGATAGCGGATGCGCAGGCTGGTCTGGATCCATGCTGATCGCAAACCCACTATGTTGATTTTATCATGACGCGGCTCATATTAATTATCAACACATGATGTACTGAACTGAAGTAAGTCTTATATTTATAGACCTCTTGTCTGGAAGAATGAGGTAAAATTCTCGCGGTTGAGAGACTTGCACATCCAGGTTTTATATGATCACCTCTGTATAATCGTCAGCAAGGGCTGTCACAAAATACAACACTGAAATACATACATAAAATATATTTTACTAATAGTCTAGTTTCATATAACATATGATAATTCATGAAATTGTTCGTAATGTGAAATAAGCAGTAAGATTTAAACCAATAATTTTCCTGTCAGCTTCGGCCTGCCTGGACTAAATAAGTGCTAACTGTAATATTGGCAGAGCCCTAGTGGGACTCAAACCCACAATCATTTGTATATGCAGTAGTTACCTTATCCACTGAGCTGACACTCCCTTCTTCCTCAAGCAATCAACAAATTGAAACAGATTAATCCTGTTATGATTTTTCTTCTTATTTTGTTTGTGTTTTAGGCCACACCAACACTGTCCAGGTCATATGGCAACTTTCAAGCTGGTGGAGGAATACCTCAGATGCCCCTCTCAGTATTATTTCAGACCTGAGTGGGCAGCTGAGTAGAACTACAGACGTTCTGTAAGCTAGCTGGATAGCTTCATAACAAAATAGAATCCAAAGTCACTGGCTGGATTCAGAACCACAGCAGCTAGTGGCAAGTGGTTTGAAGTCATTAACCTTAACCAATAGGCCAGAGACACTGTTTCTTATGATTCAAGGGTTACATCATATTCCAGGAAAATTAATAATTTAAAGTAAAATCCTTTATACATGTACAAAGATATTTTTTTTCTTAAAATAAAGATTATAGGTAAAATGGCTGCCAAAAAATTGCCAGCCAATATGAGTAAAGCAGTGTCTATTCTGCTAGGAGGGGCGATGGGGGGATTCACCCACTTTTTTTGAGAATTCACCCCTATTTTTTGAGAGGAAAGGGGAAAATTATACATAGACAAAGAAGGAAAAAGATCAACAAATGTAATAAATTCACACTTTTCCATAAAAATCCCCCCTGTTTTTTGAAATCCTAGAATAAACACTGGTAGACAAGTGTACACAGTATATAACCGTGTATAACCCAGGACCCTAGGAATAGTGTTCTGCAGTCTTGTGACTGACCTACCCAGCCACTTTCATGTCAGTTTTTTCCTAATTAGTCCTATATGGTGACACAAATTTGAGAGAAATTAACTTACACATCTGATGAGAGAAAAATCAAAACTTACATCTGATTTTTTATCTTCTCTAGGATGGCCAGGCATTCTTGTTGGTCTCTGTTGACTAGATACTTGCTGACCTTGTGGTCTTGGAGGTCGTTGCCCTTGGCGATGCTGCGGATCATTCGCTTCCGCCATGGCAGCTTGCCTTTCTTCTTCCTGTAATTGTTTGGCTAACTCTTCACTGTAAAATAATTGTTTTTTGTTTTGTTTTTCCTTCCATTTCTTAAACCATTTCTAGGATTACATGCCTCATAAATAATTTCACTTGTTGGTTTTCATGATAGTATTTTTTTAACAGACTTTAGTAATGCATAATTCTTTTATCACTTTTTTTAAATAATTGTTTTCTAAATGTTATGGCTGGCCTTTTTACTAAATTCTGTTTGAAATAGTAATCTAAGGATAAATGACAACAGTATATTCTTTGATAATATAATTATTAAAAAATACAAAAGACAACAACAACAAAACATTACAAAAACTCAAACTTGGTAAATTGATTTAGTACTTAAATAAGAGAACTAATTTGAATGGGAGATTTAAACAAGGGAAGTTACTCTGTATGGTAGAAATGATTTCTGTGTGGTAGTTTTGATAAAGGGAAATTACTGCATGGTAGTTTAAAGAAATAAGGGAACTTTCTATATAGTTACTATGTAGAGTTTAAAGTAAGGGAACATACTCTTTATGAAACTTTTATGTAAGGGATGTTACTCTGTGTAGAAATATTTACCACTGGAACTAACTTTGTCGGGAATTTTTATTTTCATGGATTAAATGTGGAAGTTACAAGTTTTATGTATGGTAGTATATTGTATGGTTAACTTACTCTGTGAGCTGTGTGTTTGGCGGAGTCCAGTCCACTTGTTCCGGGGGTTGTTGTTCTTGCTGCAGGGACAATGCTACCAGGTAACTACAACAACAACTTGGAATTTTGTTTGTTTGTTTAATTGGGGTTTACATCATACCGACACATTATAGGTCATATGGCTATGTTCCAGCTTTACAGGTGGAGGAAGCCCTCAGGTGCCTTTCCATGCATTATTTCAGGCACGAACATGAACCTGAGTAGAATCATCGACGTTCTATAAGCTAGCTGGATATCTTTCTCACATGAAAGAATCCAAAGTCGCTGTCAAGATTCATACCCACAGCGGTAAAAGGCAAGTGGTTTGAAATAAATGACCTTAACCACTCGGCCACATACAACATGGAATTATATACATGTACAAGAAGAATATTCACAAGCAATTTAAAGTATCTTTCCATATAAATTTCTTGCCTTGCAAAGACCTCTCACTGGAATGTGCTCCCTTATGTCTACGCTTTATGAGTTTTATTATTTGTGTTCATTATGAATATGACATATTTGATCAAATTTTGGTGCCATTATAAATGTAAAAACAAGCTTGCACTGTAACTAGTAACAGCACTTCCCCACATTCTAAATAAATATTAGTCATAGAGATTGACGAAACTGGCTGACTTCTCATTTATCAAAGGATGTAAAACCTTTAAATCATTCAATTATGAAAGTTTTTCTAATTTTCATTTGAGATTTAAATCATAGTGATGTCAGGAGGCAATTTTCCAGATAATGTAACAGAAGTATTGCTGGTCCTTATTTAAGTATTATTCTGGTATCCAGTATGAAATCAAAGGACAACTACTGACTGTACATTCCGACCTGGTATCATTTATTGGTGCTAGCTTACCAAATGGTAAAATATATAGTGGCATTTGGCACTCGCTTACCAAATGGTAAAATATATAGTGGCATTTAAACATCACTACAGTGGGCCTTACCATATCGCAAATTAGAAATTGCCTACCAGCACAAACTGAAAACTACTTACTCATGGTCAATCTGTTCTTCACTATTGATTGGTAAATTTGGAGGTTCCTTTGGTAAAGGAGAGGGTTCAGGTTTGGTGAATGTTCTAAACTCTGAGTCAACAAAATGACAATCACCCTCCACGTTACTTAACGTCTCCCATACCACATTGCTCTCCTGTAGAAAACCTTGGTCAGTGACAAGTTGGAACAGCTCACCCTGAAAATATAGTAAATACCCTAAAAGTTGATATATCTTCATATAATAAAAAGTGCATTGCTAAGTTATGTACTTTACATGATTTAAGTGGCAAAGATCAAATTGACCTTTACCATTGACCTACTGACCTCAAAACTGAAACTGCCACTGCATGACTTGAATACCCCCCCCCCCATTCATGCAGCTTTGCCTGGAGGTGTTTTATGATGAATATGAGAACATAATTATATGCTTCAAAAATCAATACACTGTGGACGGACATTCTTAAGCATTTGAACAGACAAGTTTATTGTAATAAAAGCCCTTGTGACCTTGACCTTTGACATAGTCACCTAAAAATAAATAGGGGTCATCTAATAGTCGTACCTCAATACTAAACATGAAGACTGTTGACTAAAGCATTCTTATGCAATTGAGCGGAAAAGCTTTTTTGAGCTAAAGGCCCTTGTGACCTTTGACCCGTTGACTTCAAAATATATACAGGTCACCAAATGGACATGACCAACCTCTATGCCATATACGAAGACTGTGGGCCAAAGGATTCTTAGGTTATTGGGCGACAAACTTTTTTAAGTTAAGAGCCCTGTAACGTTGACCTTTGACCCAGTGGCCATCTAATAATCAGGACTAACCTCCATGCCAAATATGTAGACTGGCCAAAGGATTCTTAGGTTATTGGTTGACAAGCTTTTTTCAGTCAAGGCCCCTGTGACCTTGACCTTTGACCTGGTAACCTCAAAATATAGAGGTCATTACTAATCATGGCTAACCTCCATGCCAAATATGAAGACTGTGGGTCAAAGGAATCTTAAGTTATTGGGCGGACAAGAAAAAACCTGCTGACGCCAGACGGCCGGACGGACAAGCTGATTCCAGTATACCCCCTTACAACTTTGTTGTGCGGGGGTATAAAAATGCTAACTTGTCTCTATACCAAAATATAGATGCTTAGGAAAATAAAAAAAATATCTACATGCATACGTTTTAGAGTCAAGTTTCATGGAAGTCTAGAGTGACTTCTTCCTGACTTTGACAAGTTAGTAAGATTGAACAATCGTTACACTTCAGAATGTTCACAATCAGTACTTCCTCATCTTAATATATTAGATGAACATACCAAAGTTTACTAAGACACTAGCCCTATCATAACCATAAATAGTCTAGAAAAAAAACCTTCTTCCTAGTCTACTTGAAAATACATTTGTGTTTTTGTTTTGATAAAACATTTCTTACTTCTATAATCAAATTTTAGAAGCTGTTCCTAGTTGTATCAAGTCACCAAGCCTAAGAAGTTCAGTTAAGCATCCTTGACGATGTTCCAGCCTGAATACTACATGAAAATTTTAATCTTAAATTTATCATTTTTCCATTTTTTTGTTAGTTTTGCCAATGTTTTCAACCAATCATGGTATACTTAAAATTCAATAAACACTCAAGTGTTAAGCATTCATTATTTCTATGATCTCGGAAAAATATTTTCAATGTCAAAAAACCTTTAAGTTTAAAAGATCTGCTGTTATCAAAGGACCTCTTTTTTTCTCTTCCAAAGACTGGTCATAATGTACAGGTTTCACTGTAGGTATAATCATGATAAAAGACAACATGCAGTAACAAATATGTATTGCAACTTTTGAAGGAAGGAAATCGTGCACTTGATAATGTTTCCCTTGACAATACTCGAGATATAAATCTGGAGAAAGTTATTAAATTAAACGTACTAATTAGGTAAAAGTTTGTGTCAATCCCCACTGTTCGAATTCTCAATGTTTGATCAACATTGTTAAGTGGCCGGAAAACAATATAACTAACACAACACTTCAGCCGATAACTTATCACAAGGATGTTTATGCTTATTTGTCAATTTCTAGGGTATTATATATTATAATACATGCAACATGTGAAGATGTTATATTTATTTGTGATTTTATTTACAGTCCTAGGTAAGTTGATAATCCTGTATTTTAGGATATTTTCTTAAAATCAATTTATTTTCAGTTTCATCTGAAACTCACATCAACACTATAAAGTTTATATGGCAGCTTTCGGGTTTGATTGATTTAGAAATTTTCAGGTGCCGCACCATGCTTTGTTTAAGGCACAAAATAGAACCAGCCGCCTGCAATAATCTAGCTCAACAAGTCTGAATTGAGACCCACGGAAGAATTCACAGGTTGTGATTGTAAAAGGTGTCAAGATAAATGGTTTCTACTATTATAGAAAGATACTGACATTTTGAACGTTATACAATCTCAATTATAATATTCCTTCTCATGTTTTTCAATTTCCGGATTTTGGAAGTAAATTTGAATTGATATAACCCAAATTTTCCCGGAAAATCGTTCAGAATTCAGAATTTAGAAGTTCCGGAATTCAGAGGTATTTATTATATAGAAAACAGATAGAGAAATTTTGGACTCTGAAAAATGTTCAGATTTCAGAAGTTTCCGGATATTAGAAGTTCCGGATTTCAGAAGTTTTCGGAAATTAGAAGTTCCGGATTTCAGAAGTTTCCGGAAATTAGAAGTTCCGGATTTCAGAAGTTTCCGGATATTAGAAGTTCCGGATTTCAGAAGTTTCCGGATATTAGAAGTTCCGGATTTCAGAAGTTACACTGTATAGATATATATGAAACGCTTAATGATTGTGTAAAGTTGAAAACACACGCAAACACACACACAATATGCCATTTGTGATAATACAACTTCACACAATCAACTTGAGCAAACAAATCATTATAGAGGACTGTCGCGAATTAATTATGTTCATATTATAGCATGTTATATAATGTCATGTTCCGCACTTAATACATTTTAACGTCACTTCCAGCATTAAATTGTGTTTTTTAATGTTTACTCTTATATATGACTGTTAGTTAGTTAAAAGGTCTAATCTAAAAACTACAACGCACTTTGTTAGGACATCCCCTCATTGTTGGTGCCATCACCAGTTATCTAATATGCCCTTATCAAAGAATCTTGTCAGCCAATACAAAATGATATGCGAGCCAGCTTGACTTTAAACTGGTTACTTATTACATAGGGCACATCACTGTGTTCATTAGCTCTGTAAAGGTTAATTAAATTCCCTTTCAAAAAGCCTTATCGTGGGTTTCGTGCAAGACTGTAGTAACTACCATTTTTTCTGAAAATGACTTTTTTCTTCATTGGACACTTAGCACAACCAAACTTAGGTACATGTACTTGCTAAAATCCTTAAGACCTTGTTCCCATGGCAACATAATGTATAAGAAGTAACATTTAATATGGAATAGTTTATAAATTGACAGGTGCGTGTACAGGAGAAGGGGGACCGTGCTACAGTCGTAGTCAGAAAAAATGTCGTATACCCTTTCATAACCTATGGAGCGCCAAAATGGAGGGACGAGATGGTGCAATATGCGGGTAATATTACGACGCAAATAAAATAAATATGATGAAAATGGGATGAGATTGCTCTCATTTTTATTTATTTTCAAAAATAAACTCGGGAGACAAATATTTGTCAGTCTATTTTAAAAGTTAAATTCCAAATTTCAATATGCAGGTAACATGTTTCTACACAAATAAACTCTAAATGGGATTAAATTGATCTTATTTTTATTTATTTTCAAAAATAAACCCAGGAAACCAATATTTTAAAAGATTAAATTCCAAATTTCAAGAGACGTTTTTATAGAGCAAGTTTTTTCCAAGATTTAAGCTGTTATGTCTTTCACATACTGGTACAGCATAGCAAATTATCAATTCTAAAATAAATACAGAAAATTATGTCATTCATTTTAACTTTATTGTTTGAAGTTTTTTAATTGAGCTTAGCCTTAACATTGTTTTTTTACAGATTTTTTTAAACATTTTTGACAGTAATCATTCAGAAAAAATTATTTTAATATCGTACAGTCATACTGTTGTTAGATGTACAATATTTGAAATCTTTATATAATGCAGGTACTTTAAAGATCTTCACAAATGTACCATGGATTTCCAAGCAACGTGTAAATTCAAAGATGACCTGTATGAAACGGATATTGTCAATGTTTACACGCGGAAACCGTACAGCTGTCAGCTAATGGGAGGAAGTAAGTTACCTTTATACCTAAATATCTAAAATGGACTTCTCCATCTTTTTATCTGGACAATACCATTTATCATTTTCAGGAAATTACAAGTAATTACTGCTGAATTTCTAAAATGGACATGTCGATCATTTAAACTGGACAAAACCATTCATCATTTTCAGGAAATTACAAATAATTACTGCTGAATTTCTAAAATGGACATGTCGATCATTTAAACTGGACAAAACCATTCATCATTTTCAGGAAATTACAAATAATTACTGCTAAATTTCTTAAATGGACTTGTCCTCCATTTAAAACGGACTAAACCATGGAAGAAATCAAAATAGAAACTGACACATAAGCGAACTGTGCAGACCAAAATCGGACAGCACAGATGTGCCAGCAGATCTTGGTCTGCACTTGTAAGTTGCCATCATCAAGATAAAGGTTACCAGATTCATGGAAATAATATGGAGATTTCTTTTTCCTATATAAAACATAGTGATCCAGTAAATATTCATTTCCTTCAGTGGATTTTACAGATTGTTGTTTAGCATGGCAAAGATTAGAACAGACTAAAAGCTTTAGTGCCTCATTACACCATATTGTACAGAACAAGGATACAATATCAGAATCTTACACCGTCTGCCGGTACAAACGGTTGACCGGAGTATCTAGCTCTAGGGTAACTGTTTTCGGCGGTAAAGTGACTCTGCTGAATTTCTGCTCAACAGTTACCTGAGAGCTAGATATTCCGGTCTGTTACGAAGCCCGTGTTTTGATTCTTTTTCTTGCATATAACATATTGATCATATTTCGGAAAAAAAATTGGGAAAACTAATATTTCATTTAGCACTTTTTTCTTATGGTAGCGTATGAGTTTACAACTTCATTCACAACAGCACAATCACATCATCTTAAGAACACAATTGATTCATATAAAGGGCGCGAAAATGACGTCATTTAAAACAAGAGACTTGTCTTACATGGTGGGGTGTGTGAGTGTGTGTAAGACTGGTTTTTCGAGCACCGGTGTAAACAGTAGATAATCCTGTCAGATATGCAAGAAATGTTAACTTGCAATATGAACAAACCAAATTACGTCATAAAAATAACTTCTGTGCTCAATGTAGTTCAACATATTTTTATTAATTCTCTATTTATTAGCATGAAAGGACATCCATTTTTTGTGCACTATATACAATAATGCCAATCTTCATGTCTATATTACTGAAGTAGAACAATGCATTATTTCACAACAATATCCTTAAAATTAATATCTATTTTCAAATTTTAATCAATGATGAATCACAAGTACAATGTTATATAATTATGATACTATGATTTCACACCTTATTTACAGTATCCAATGAACATTCAGCATTTGCAACATGTGATCTCCCAATATAAATCATTATTGGGATAATTGGATTCAATATTAAAAATTTAGCCTCATTTTCATTGAACAAGTCCGAAAAATTCAATTACTATTGTACTTTGTCTAGCCTCATTTTCAGAGTCCAAAAAAATCCATATCAAATCCATATTTTACACAAATTATATCAAGTTCTATCAAAATGTTAATAAATTGGTGCTGTGAAATAGAGGCTTTTATATTTTATTGAATACAATACAGATTCTATTGGCCTTGTCCAATATAGGTTTCAAAGCTGTGTACTGATCCAATAGAGTTCAGTATTGTACTCAACAATGTATAATAATGTCATATAATTTTTCTAATTATTGTAATCATCTCAAAGATGGTTTATAATTATTAAATTACTTTATCTTTTTTCAGATATACGATACAATGGTGAATATGATGCCAATTCTGCTAAAAGATTTCAACTCAGTACAATACTGATGATGATTCTAAACTTAGTTCCATTGCTACATTTACTGGCTAATTGAAAAAAAATATACTGACAAAAAATAAATCCTGTGATGATATCTTATATAATGTGCAATAGTATGTGTGTATTTTAGCCATGACCTCAGCAAATTGAAATTCGTATAAGATTTCATCATTCAAAGAAGAAAATTTAATGAAATTTCGACAGAAAGATGTTATTTCCTCAAAAGAAAATATGTAGTCCCTTACAATTGGACTTGATGAAGCTTTTAACTAAGCAAGGTACTTTTCTATATTTACTAATGTAGCAATGAAGTGTGGTAAAATGACTTGTTGATATAATGTGGAAAAAATACTTGGCATCTTTAAAATGTGGTTTAATGTCTAACTATCTTTACCTTGTGTCTGATAATGTGGTAAAATGGCTTGTAAATATAAATTGTGTATATTATAAAAATGTGGTAAAATATCTTGACAATCTTGTGGTAAAATAAATCTGTTTGTTTCAATGTGGTAAAATGCCTAGCTTTTCTTACTGTGTGTCTATACAATGTGGTAAAATGCCTAGACAATCCTACTGTTATGTATGTAATGTGGTAAAACTAGAACTGCCACTATCATGGCGTGAATACCCCCGCGTACCACTTTGTCAGAATCAACAGTGGCCATTTAGAGCTCATGGACAACCTCCCTGCCAAATCTGAGGTTACTAAGCCAGTGCATTTCTAAGTTATGTATTCTACATGCTTCAAATGTGAAAATGTCAAAATCAATACATTGCGGACAGGACATTCTTTAACAATTAAGAAGAAAAGCTTTTTTTTGTCAAGGTCCCTGTGACCTTGACCTTTGACCCAGTGACCTCAAAATCAATAGGGGTCACCTTATAGTCATGATCAACATCCATGCCAAATATTAAGACTGTGGGTCAAAGGAATCTTAAGTTATTGGGCGGACAAGCTTTTTGAAGTCAAGGCCCCTGTGACCTTGACCTTTGACCTGGTGACCTCAAAATCAATAGGGTCTACTGATCATGACTAACCTCCATTCCAAATATGAAGACTGTGGGTCATAGGAATCTTAAGTTATTGGGCAGACAAGCTTTTTGGAGTCAAGGCCCCTGTGACCTTGACCTTTGACCTGGTGACCTCAAAATCAATAGGGGTCATCTACTAATCATGACTAACCTCCATGCCAAATATGAAGACTATGGGTCAAAGGAATCTTAAGTTATAGGGCGGATGAGCTTTTTGAAGTCAAGGCCCCTGTGACCTTGACCTTTGACCTGGTGACCTCAAAATCAATAGGGGTCATCTTCTAATCATGACTAACCACAATGCCAAATATGAAGACAGTGGGTCATAGGAATCTTAAGTTATTTGGCGGACAAGGTTTTTGAAGTCAAGGCCCCTGTGACCTTGACCTTTGACCTAGTGACCTCAAACTCAATAGGGGTCATCTACTAATCATGACTAACCACCATCCCAAATATGAAGACAGTGGGTCATAGGAATCTTAAGTTATTGGGCGGACAAGGTTTTTGAAGTCAAGGCCCCTGTGACCTTGACCTTTGACCTGGTGACCTCAAAATCAATAGGCGTCATCTACTAATCATGAGTAACCACCATGCCAAATATGAAGGCTGTGGGTCATAGGAATCTTAAGTTATTGGGCGGACAAGAAAAAACCGACGGACGGCCGGACGCCGGACGGCCAGACGGACGGACGGCCGGACGGACAAGCTGATTCCAGTATACCCCCCTTACAACTCTGTTGTGCGGGGGTATAATGAATGGTTTTTAGATGTTTTTTTTTATGCATATGGTAAAATGAATGGTTTTTAGATGGTATACAAAGTGGCAAAATTAGTTGGTGTTTTAAAGCATGGTAAAATACCTAGATTATCTTACCTTGTTTCTACAATGTGGATAACAACCTTGCATATATATAATATGGTAAAATTAGTTGGTGTTTTCAAAATGTGGTAAAATGCCTAGCCTATCTTACCTTGTGTCTATACAATGTGGTAAAATGGTTATTTCTAAAGAGTACAGCCAGTTCATCTTCCTTGAGTTGAGTACAGAGCTCACATAGACCGTGGTAAGTTAACTGTGAGGCAGAATTCTCCAGAAATTCCTCCGCTACTAATGCTACAAAAAATATACATATTTATAGACCTTTGACAAATTTATCAGAAGCTTTTAAAATACAAATTAATTACGTAAGTGGCGAATGGTCAATACATTAACAAAATGAACTAAACTAATAAAAAATTTACGGACTTATTACATCTATGACACAGTTATAAAAATTTAAATAGGTTTTGAACTTTTCACTTATAGACAAAACTTGAACAGTTAAAGTATCAATAATTTTCAGGACTGACTTTCTAGTCATAACTAAGGCCACCACAGTTACACATAGTAACATATTTCACTTTTAACTTTCATCTGTAAAACGTTTATGATATTTTTGACCATTTAAACAAAATCCGATATGACCATATTGTCTTATTAGAATATCCTAATTATTACCTGTAATCATAAATTTTATCAATTCTTAATGCTTTATTCCCAGTAAAATGGGGCCCAAAAATATTATTTATTTGTAAATGATTGAATTTAAAATAGAAAGTAAGTAATTGTATTGGCAACTTGCATAAAGGGTATAGTAAAATACATAGAAATACAGATGTTTAAACAGTTTCATTTGGTTTAAGCTATCGTGTAAAGGTTTACAAAAAAAATTGTAAAAGTAGTTTTAATTAAAACACACAGATGATATCAAACAAAGTGACCAAGACAAAAAGATCCTATATCTTCATGATTGTATCATATTTTCTTACCTTGACTGACAAGGTCTGGTTGGTCGGATGTTTTCTGGACGATGATTTTCTCAACGAGCTGGTTATAACTACATTTACCGAGAGCTTCTACTTCTGTACTATTTTGAGGATCTACTAACCAGCCGTGGTATAATGAGATTTGTAACAAGTCAAATATAATGCATTCTGATGTATACTCAAAATCACGAACACTGAAACAGAAGTTTTTTTACTATAATTATAATAAGGATACTTCTTGTATGTCTGATTAATTATAAGGTGCCCCTCAATGCATTATTTCAGGCATGAATGGGCACCAGAGTAAAACCACTGACGCTCTGTAAGCTAGCTGGACAGCTTCCGCACATTAAAGAATCCAATGTCTCTTAAGGGATTCAAACTAACAGGGGTGTGGGGCAAGTGGTTTAATGTCGACTACCTTCTTACCACTCGCCCATGATGCCCTGATTCTTTTTATAAAATTTATTTACAGTTAAACTATGTTATTTCAGTGTCTATTATAGGAGGGGGGATTTACTCATATTTTTGAGAATTTTCCTATTTTTTTTCCCCTTTCAGATAAAAATACCCCTTTTTTCAAATCCTAGAATAGACACAGGTTATTTCCATAATCTTACGGTTGATACTCAAAGAGCTTTAACATTTATTGTCTTTGTCATTTAAAGGCACATTGTGTCTCAGAAAGGTATACAATTGGTCCTCTGAAAAAATGCAAACTTATCTTTTGTAATGTTTCAATAATGGAATACAAATATACATGTATGTAAAATGCAATAATCAGCACTGAATATGAAATAATTTATCATAAAAGAAGCTTAATTTAAGCAATGTGACATCTTGTCTTCACTAAAAAATACTTAATCACTATCAGTTTTCACTACAAAAATGGCCAAAGAGCTAAAGCAGGTTGAAGTTCATTTATAATTATGGTCTATAAAAATGGCTTTTGAAAACTGTGACACTTACACTTTAATTTGGGGATTTAATGAGGATAAAAAATTTATTTCTTGTAACACTTACCCGGTAAATTTCACATTTACATCAAGTCCAGTTTGGAGTTTGTACATCACAGCCATGGCATCACCCATGTTTTGTTCAAAGTTGAGCCGAGAGTGTGTTGATACCCCCTGTCAAAGTCATAATATGATAAACATGTCTAATTGATCAACTGCAAATCTGATGTAAGCCGGGGGGAGGGGGGTTTCACAGCTGATGTGAAAATATCAAACAATTTTATTTAATGTTATCCCTTCTTTTTATCAGAAAATTTAACTTAATAAATACAAAAGATAAAAGAACACAATCTCAACAACCATACTTGTATACATAAAAATAACCAAAAAACAAAACTTTCCCTTAAGTTTGAATGTTGATAGTTTTTCAATGTTTCAATATATTTGGCTGAAATCTTATGTTTTTGTAAAAGAATGTCTTGTAAATATTTTCAGATCAGCATAATTTAGACAAGTATTTGTTACAGTTTAATCATTTGATCTGAATTGCAAAAAGGAAGGGGTTTATTTTAAAAATATACTTTAATCATCAATAACACATCATTTTTTAGAATTGCTTGGCTATGCCTATTTTTTTCCTATGCAATATACTCTAGGAGATGGGTGGTGACAACTTTTAAGCCAGAAAAACAAAAAAACAAACATGTTACTTACATCTTCACCAGGGACATTCTGTAGAACACAATCACCAAGATGTGCCATCAACTGTCCTGCCGAAATTATTTCTGTCCGCGCTGGCAGAGTCACACGATTCTGAAGTAACAACACATTGATGAGTGCTAGCAACGGACAAGGCCCATTTTCATTCTGTGTAATTATAGGCACCTGCTTTTTATTAAAATAAACCCATTTTACTTGGTGAATACTTTCAGTGTCAGATTGGCCACCATTGGTTGCCCCTCCACTGCTACAAGCCCCTTCACTTGTACTTTGTTCATTATCTTGCCCAGGTTCTGTTTTCCCCTCTTTCACCGGATCTGTTTCAACGTCTTTTCGAGGTAATTCAACTTTGAGTTCAACATTCTCTGCAATGTCTTTAGTTTGCTCTATCTGACCTTGGTCATCTGAATGAATAGACTCCTCTGTATTCTCAGTTTTATCATCGCTCACTGCATCAGTTACAGAAACACTGCTTTCCTCATCTCCCAATAACTCTGCTGAATTAGTGCCTTCAGAATCAGGTTCATCACTTTGTTCTGAAATTTTAATATATTTATAACTAAATGGGAGTGTGACTAAAAAAGTGTTGCAGCACTAAATACCATATTCTGGTGATTATTATACCGGACATTAGGCACTTTGAATAATGAATTTTTCTAAGGTCACTCACCCTGCCAGGCTTCAATTTTCCTTGCCCTTAATAAAATGAACTTGGCTTTGCTAGATGCATTTTGATGGACAGCATAATTATGTAAAAAGTCAAACTATAAAGACTCAAATTTACTTTTCAAGGTTCCCGCTGCCGCTCACAAAGACTCAAATTTACTATTAAGTATTTACCTGTCTATATCGGCATAATTAGCTTTATTCATTTACATATTGTTAAATAATGTTAATAATACTTTTCCTTCTTTTAATATATAATCTGCAACTTGATCTGAATACTTATTTTATGTAAATTCTAACCCACGCAAGCACTCGGCTAAAATATCGACCTCATGGCCAAGTATAAAGCGTTACCAAACGAGTATACATGACATTGTCGAATGATGATGTTTTTATGGAATAGATACATTATACATGTTCGGCATACATGCCGTAATGTCCTGGACGTTCGGAAAGTCCCGGAAATAAGGTGTCTGTCCCGGAGATGATTTATGTCCCGGTAAAAAAGAATATCTAAAATAATCTACTTTGTAGCCAGAAATTTTACATTTTTTATACAATCTCATTGTCAAGTTATTATTAACTATTCTGGAATGCTAATAACGAACATTTATCCCCATACAGCACATTGTAATATACAGTAAACAATGACACTAATCCTTTGATTGGTATATCTATGTGCCCCTTCCAGCAATAATTTTGATCAATTAAAAGATTAATTGTTTACCCCTGTGGCTTCCTGAGCAAAGGTGTTATAAACTCTAATTAACAACTGACCAGCATAAGTTTAATCCGCCTGCAGGCAATTATTAGTGGTCAATCACTGTGAAAATTACCGCGAAATATGTGGTAATGAAATCTACAGGATTCAGCAAATGTTTCAGGTAAACAACATGGCTAATTGTCCTTACTTAACATAGCTTTATTCTATTCTGTGACAGATTGAATTTACGATGACTTAATACTTTAAAAAAGGTTAGAAAAACTGTTAATAATTGTTGACATGTTGTCTTGTTTATGTTGTCATTAAATTTGCAACTTGTAAATACCGGTAATATAGGTTGTATGCGGTGTATGGACAAAATCCCCTTCGGACAAAATCCACTTTGCATACCCGGACAAAATCCCCTCCATGGGTGGGCATAATTCCCTTCAAGTTTTTGCAAGGCTGGACAAAATCCCCTTGTTTCCTAGGTTTCTAATGTATTCTTATGCTCCATAAAAATGGATGATTTATGTATTATTATGCTTCATGAAAATTGATGAATAATGAACTTTTGTTTTCTTATTTTTAATTATGTATAGATCCTGTAACACTTTTTTTTCATGGTTTTATTTCATTAATATGATGCTCAAATTAAGATTTGTCAATATTGTAAGTTCCAATAAGCATTCTTTATAAAGATATTACCAAATTTAACATTTCATGTAAATAAAGGGAGGTAATTAGAAATTTATTTTCTATAAATTCTAAGTCAAATTTTCCCAAAAGAATTGAATGCATTTACTTTATTGATTAAATATAATGTGCACAAATATTTGCAGTACACATTTTACATATTCTTCGATGTTTGAAAATTGTTTCATCTGCATAATTATATACATATATATATAATTTTTTGCTAGTGTGGTATACACACAGTAACAATATCAATCACAAAACATACAGGACCTTAAATCTTTATAATTATTGTGGGTCTTAATCGGACTCTCGTCTATTTTCGGAGTTTCCTATCCATTGTTTATATATCTGTGATAACAAATATATTTGATTAGGCAATTTCTTTAATTGTTTTAAATTGATTAGTATTTGTATATTAGCATAATGCAGTATGTCGCTCTCATACCCACTTTATAAACAGAAAATTCATCTGAGGGGGATTTTGTCCTAACTAGCAATTTTATTGAGGTGATTTTTTCAACTTCAAAATTTCACGCATGTAGGGGATTATGTCCCCCCATGGACCGATGGAGGGGATTATGTCCAGATATACAAAAATACATGAAGGGGATTTTGTCTGACATTATTCTATGCCACTATGTAAATTTTAGAAACAATACGGTTACTGATCATTGCCCACCTCGAAATGAAAAGTGTCCTGGAAATGAGCCAAAAATTATGGCATATATGCGTGTGATAAAGTTTTAATCCTAGTCATAAGGTAAATTTCAGGTTTTCATTTGACAATATTAGTTACGATTGAAATGGTGCAGGGCACTCGTTTGGCCATTTTTGGGGCCGAATATCGGCCCCATTCCCCTCTCAAAATCATATGCTTTTTTCCCCTATTTCAGCAGAAAATTCCCCTCAAAAAAATTATAGTATAAATGTTTGATATTTTACAAAAAAAGTGATGTTTTGATTTAATAAAAATAAAATATATTTCTGTTAAACTTTCAATGGATTAAAAACTAAATTACAGTTGTCAACAACGCTGTATGTTAAAATCGAAAGTAGCAGGAAGTGAGAAATGTACAAGGGAGGTAACTCTCGTAAAATTATTGACAAAATTAATGTGGAAGATAATCATCGTAGGAGTTTACCTAATATTCAATTTGTTTAGAGAATGGACATACATTGTCATATTCTGCTAGTAAATAAACAAAACAATTTTAATTTCTGTCAGTTGTTGTTGGAAAAATCGTATTTCTCTTGCAGTTTTGTACTCAAATATTTTCGAACCAAATATTTTCGTACCCAGTTTTACAGTTACAGACAATTTTCTCTGAAACCAAAACCTTTTTTAGAAAAGGCATAAAACTTTCATGATTATTTTTATTGAACTCTTATTTCAGTTCTCATTGTTATAATTGTTTCAATCTAAAGAACAGGCAGAAATATGTAGAAAATAGATTAAGAACTGACCAGTGCAGATTGCAAAATAGTGTGATACATTTTTAACTTTAAAAATAAAGAAACAATTAATGACTATAATAGGAAATAATTTTCCTGTGTTTCCATAACTTGGGTACAACATACCCTTGCCTAGGAAAGTCTGCCTTTCCAGAGCTTGTTGCACTGATTCAATTTTTGTTGTACAAGTTTTTTTTTTTAAAACAACAACAACAAAAACAACTGTCAGTTTGAATTTTTTATCATAAACAAAAATGCATTATGCTTGTTATTGATTTTAATATAACCCTAACTTTTTTAGAATTTGCATTTTACCCCTCACTTTAGAATTTGAGGGGTATAAAACCCTTGGCCAAAAACATATATCTTGAGCTCTGATTGATGTCTGAGTCAGTCAAGTGCAATAAGAAAAAGCAATAAAGAAAACAATGAGATAGCCTATCTCAAGAAAAACTTCATGTTATATGTTTTATTTGTTAGGTCTTTAGTAATAAATATACTAGCTATTGTAAGTAATGGTAGGAAATTGTGCCAAGAGTTAGTGTAAAACCTAAATTTAAAGAACTCATATATGGCTTAAAATTCCCCTTTTTGTCTTAAAATGACGCAAAATTCCCCTTCCTGAGGGTATGGGTACCTGTCCCCAAAAGTTGTCTAGTGCCCTGTGGTGTCTGCAGTTTGATATTTTTACTGAAAAACTTCATACATTACATCTTTAGAGAAACATTTAGATAGGTAGAATCTTACTCATCCTATCAGGCGAATTTGATAATTTTTTCCTTGCCTGACTCGCGATGAATAAGGTGATTGGATTCGTTCAGGCCTGGGTCTTAAGAATAGCAAGTTATATCAGGATTTGTGCCAAGTTTCACAAAAAAAATAATAATGTCAGTTTTGAAAAATACCAAATCTAAAAACTATTCAACTAAAATTTTAATACGGGGAAGTCAAAGACCGGGCCCGCGAAGCGGGTCCGGGCTTTGGCTTGCCCGGCTATAGACTACACGTGTATATTTAAAAGAAAATCAAATAATAAAACAATTAAAAAAATATATAGAATTCTATACCTATCAATGAAATTTTCAGTGTCAGTTCTAGTCGGGCGCCGCCATTTACAATGTAACTCAATGATAATAGGCGGGGTATTCCGATAACGGAACAAACCTCAACTTTTCGGATAAATGATAATCGTCGAGAGTTCCGAGTGAAAACGGAAGCGGTGCATGTAATACCGAATGACATCTTTAAAACGGAAAGAATGACGACTTCCCCGTTCATAGGCTTTGCCTAATTTCATATTACTTATGGGACCAAAATGACGGTATTTTACGCCACCTACCTTCATGAACATCATTACTATTTTCAATCTTTTCTGTGTCAGAAGTTTTCAATATGGGTGGGGTAAGTAAATTATCGGGTTTTTCTGTCTCTATGCATAGGCTATTGTTCTGATTCTTATTTTCTTCTGTACATGGTGTCGAACTTATCTTAGCTGAGTTATCTGCCATATTCATAGACTACAAGAAACTATTTTGATATCTAAATAACTTATTATTGAATAAAATCTGTTGAATTTTCAGACGTAAGACTCCATTTTTAAATTATCGCAAAATACGAGATCTCGCGCGATGTAAACATACGAATGAGGCTCCAGTGGGAAAATTCCCACAGATGACAGCTGACAGTTGCGAAGGTTAACATCTCTGAAAATGAATAAATAAGCAATATATTCAGACCTGTCAACTGATAAAAACATTAGTACTTTAGCTTACATATTCAATCTTTTCCCTTCCGCATTTTAATAAAGAAAAATTAAAATGAATTTCTAAAAATAAATTGTAATTCAGCACGAGAACATTTGGGTGCCCTTACCCAGGATATGCCCAATGAACCAGTTGTTTACGGCCATCTTGGGCAACTGTGAGAACAAGTATTTTAATAAACCACTAATCTTGGGTGAAAATCAGAGTTAACAAGTCCAGAAAGTTTCATAGAATTTTCGTTTTGCTGTTATTCAGATAAAGCATTACTAGAAATTACTAGGGTAAGTATCTTGTGCGAGTTTATACACATGACATTTACTTTTTAATATTTTAAAGAACTTGAAAGTCCTAGGTGGGTCAAAAGTTATGGAAGTAAATCGGTAACTCTTGGTTGAGGTTTTTTTTTTCAAGCATACTTGTAACATAACATTGTTGTTATTTTTTGTTCATTCTCTTGCAATGAAGTTGTTAACAGTGATGAAGTTGATTGAGTATAAGTTGCAACCTTCTAGTCATGCATGTCAGTAGGTCAGATTTATTAAAGATTTCTTATAGTTAGTTATAGTTGAAATCTATTAGGTTACATGCATATAGCCCAATTAATTTTTCATACCGTCAAACCGTTGGAAAAAGACATCGCCTGTCCAAAATAATCTCGATGTCTCATTGACAAGTCTTATATAATTTGTTAGAATAACATGCATAAAACTGCACATTGTGAAAACAACTCTATCCAATAATATCATTATAAATGTATGAAGTCTATGTTTAAATAGGGTTCATCTGCCAGTAAATGCACTAAAACTAGAAGCACCTTCACTGTTGAGTAAGGCCCTCAAACTGTTGAAACATGTCACATTGAAATTTGAAGCAGTACTTGCCATCATGCGGCACAATGATACCACTATAAGTGTTTCCTAATAATTAATGTTTTGCAACTATTGTACAGTAGTTTGATGAGGGTCCTTCCATCTGTTAAAATTACTTACTACTTAATGCAGCTTGTGCTGTTGACTACCAACCCAACTATCAGTCTTGCCCTTAAACGGTTAATTTTGGAGCACACACATATGACATATTGTCTCTGCCAGCTTTGAAGGGCCGCTTCCCTTGGCTTCAGTCAGGACATCATCAGCTTGTCCACTAGATACAAGTTTCGGTTTTTCTTCTGATGCAATTTGCATATTTATAGTACAAACCACAGGCGTTAAGCACATTTGTCTTGTCAATAATGGTCTTAATGGTCAAATTATCATAAAACAAGATATGTTTGTAAAACATGTATGCCCCCTATCAGCAGCCAATTAGTCATGTGAAAAGGTTATTATGCATGACTTCTGACCCAGTGATCAAACAATTAATAAGGGTTATCAAGTATCTACTGGTCATGACCTTAACCTTTGACCCCTTGACCCAAAACTCAATAGGGGTCATCTGCTGGTCACGACCAATCATCATACAAAGTTTGAAGTTCCTAGGCCTAAGCGTTTTTAGTTAATTGATCGGAAACCGTTTTAACATACAAGGTCAATGTGACCTTGACCTTTGACCCCTTGACCCCAAATAAATAGGTCATTTGCTGGTCATGACCAATCACCATACCATGTTTGAAGTTCTTAGGCCAAAGGGTTCTTAAGTTATTGATTTGAAAGCATTTTTACCTACAAGGTCAATGTGACCTTGCCCTTTGACCCCTTAACCCCAATATCAATAGGGGTCATCTACTGGTCATGACCAATCACCATACCAAGTTTGAAGTTCCTAGGCCTAAGGGTTCTTTAGTTATTGATCGGAAACCGTTTTTACCTAAGAGGTAAATGTGACCTTGACCTTTGACCCCTTGACCCCAAAATCAATAGGGGTCATCTACTGATCATGACCAATCACCATATCAAATTTGAAGTCCCTAGGCCTAAGGGTTCTTTCGTTATTGATCGGAAACCGTTTATACCTACATGTACAAAGTCAATGTGACCTTGACCTTTGACCCCTTAACCCCAAAATCAATAGGGGTCATTTGCTGGTCATGACAAATCACCATATCGAGTTTGAAGTTCCTAGGCCTAAGGGTTCTTTCGTTATTGATCGGAAATAGTTTTTACCTACAAGGTCAATGTGACCTTGACCTTTGACCCCTTAACCCCAAAATCGATAGGGGTCATCTGCTGGTTATGACCAATCACCATACAAAGTTTGAAGTTCCTAGGCCTAAGGGTTCTTTTGTTAATGATCAGAAACCGTTTTTACCCAAGAGGTCAATGTGACCTTGACCTTTGACCCCTTGACCCCAAAATCAATAGGGGTCATCTACTGATCATGACCAATCACCATGCCAAGTTTGAAGTTCCTAGGCCTTAAAGTTCTTTAGTTATTGATCAGAAACCGTTATTGCTTACAAGGTCAATGTGACCTTGACCTTTGACCCCTTGACCCAAAAATCAATTGGGGTCATCTACTGATCATGACCAATCACCATACCAAGTTTGAAGTTCCTAGGCCTTAAAGTTCTTTAGTTATTGATCGGAAACTGTTATTGCTTACAAGGTCAATGTGACCTTGACCTTTGACCCCTTGACCCCAAAATCAATAGGGATCATCTACTGATCATGACCAATCACCATACCAAGTTTGAAGTTCCTAGGCCTTAAGGTTCTTCAGTTATTGATCGGAAACCGTTTTTGCTTACAAGGTCAATGTGACCTTGACCTTTGACCCTTTGACCCCAAAATCAATAGGGGTCATCTACTGGTCATGACCAATCACCATACCAAGTTTGAAGTTCCTAGGCCTTAAGGTTCTTTAGTTATTGATCGGAAACCGTTTTTGCTTACAAGGTCAATGTGACCTTGACCTTTGACCCCTTGACCCCAAAATCAATAGGGGTCATCTACTGGTCATGACCAATCACCATACCAAGTTTGAAGTTCTTAGGCCTAAGGGTTCTTTAGTTATCACTCGGAAACCATTTGGTCTACGGACCGACGGACCAACGGACCGACGGACCGACAAGTGCAAAGCAATATACCCCCTTTTCTTCGAAATGGGGGCATAATAATCTCCCTTTGATCAACAAGAACAAAATTACTATCCAGCACCTGTTTACAAAATGTGCTAAATGGCTGAGTTACAAACTAATTACATGAATATATTTGTAAGAATAATTTCGCTAACTTCCAGCAGAAAAGCATGTAATAAATTCCATCTATGTATACATATTAATGTATTTGAATTCAGTGAATTTCATCACCCACTATAAATTATTATGTAATATTTAAGATATTTAAATGGTCTCTTAACCTGCTATATTTGAGTGTAACAAATTTCTCGTGCTTTGAATTTGGTACTTATTACGGGAGATCACTGTGTAGGAGATTGTAAAAGAAAATAAATTTACTAACAAAGTAATTCTAGATTTGAAACATAATGTGAGAAAACAAGAGGTGTTGGGAGGACAGCATGCTCCATTATTCTCTGTGCTTGATAGTAAAACAAGAGCCTGGAGTGGATAATGTAGAATTTGGATAATGAAGAATTAAATTTTAAGTTCAAAAAGGGCCATGATTCTGCCAAAATCCATGTTAGAGTTTTGAGTCTTGGACAGTGACCTCCTCAAATAAGTGTTTGAAGTTTCAACCCATTCCCCTCTGGAGATAACAACTTGCATGCAAAGGGATTTCAATAACAAAATACAAACATTTTGCTATCAACACTGAACAGTTTAGAGCCTTGTTAGACTGCATGTATGTGCAGACTGGTCAGGCTCTATACTAGTGGCAAAGGCTGATCAGTTATAGCAGATTAATTTATAGGGTTTGAACAGCTGATTGTTAAAGCAGCCTTAAGCTTATCTTAAGTTAAATATGTTATTTTTAGATCAATAATTTGTCAAGTCAAAAGAATTTAGGTGAAAAAAAAAATTTGCCGGCGATAAAGTACTTAGACAATAAAGAAACCCCTCGAAGATACCACTAATCTACAGGTCTGCTCTCTATATTTAAATTAGTAAAGCGGTCAATTCGTTTCCGGACCTTCTATTTTTAGAAACGAACATGACTGGCACATTCATAATAAATAGCCCTCGGGATGCTGTTTTGAAGACGGTTTAATATTGATATGATATAAATATTTAGTGTTATAACAGATGGAGGGACCCTTTTCCGAAATAAAATTACTGCAATACTAAGTTTGAAACACTAATTATTTTTTTCAACAGAAAATAAAAGCTGGTTATATTGTTGTATGTTATTTTGTCTTTAAAATTAAGGAAAGAAAATGATTATAAATGAATATACTATCAGATTTAAACCTTAAAACTGCACGCCTCCAGATGAGCCAAAATATTTCAAGAAATTCAATCTTTAGAAAAATGTATTAAGATCTTAAGAAAAGTAAAAACTTAAGATTCAATATGTAATTAATTATTTACATGTTATGATTATGTGATTAATGACTTATTTTGCAGTATCAATCACTATAATTCTACTGCATTACTAACGCAGTAAGAGGTATTTATGTATATTTTGACCTCTTTTTTGTTAACTTACATGGATTGTAAGTGTCATTTGCAATGTGAAAATTACTTTCCTTGTTCACTTCACAATATTTTACTTTTAAAAACATTTTCAAAATTTTCATGAAAATTAGCATGAATCTGGAGGCATGCTGTTTTAATGGTATTAGTTATAATGGTGAACTACAGCCCATGTTTAAATTTGGAATACATAGCATTGTTTCCAATGGAAAAATTTTGGAAAACTTTTTAAAAGATTCACTTTTTATTCTGATAATAATAAATCATAAATAGTGCTTTTCAAAAAAGAAGCAAGATTTCTATCCAAAATTTTACATT